TGGAGCATTGAGTCCATTTACAGGTATGTACTTATTGCAATTTTGTTGTTTTCTGTTTGTTTTTATAGTGTTTCTCTCTACCTTTAGTCTCTTGTTCTCTTCCTTTGTAGTTGGATAACTTTCCTTAGTGTTAAATTTGGCTTCCTTTCTCTTTATTTTTTGTATATCTATTACAGGTTTTTGGTTGGTAGTTATCATGAGGTTCAAATATAACACCCTATGTATATAGCACTCTATTTTAAATTGACAGTCACTTAGATTTGAACACATTCTAAAAGCAATACATTTTACTCCCTCCCATCCACATTTTATGTATTTGACGTTTTAATTTTGTGTATCCTTTAACTAAATACTGTAACTATAGTTGATTTTAATACTTTTGTTTTTTACCTTCATACTAGCTTTATAACTGATACACTACCTTTACTATATGTTTACTTTTTCCAGTGAAATGTTTTAATAATTTTTTTTACTTCTAGTTATGGCTCCTTTATTTCCATTTAAGGAAATTCCTTTAACATTTCTTGTGGGGTTTGTTTAGTGGTGATGAACTCCTTTAACTTTTGTTTGTTTTGGAAATCCTATCTCTTCTTCAGTTCTGAGTAATAGTCTTATAATAATAACCTTAGTAATAACCTTGTGGGGTAGGGTATTCTTGTTTACAACCATGAAGGTTTTTTTAATTTAAGCACTTTGAATATATCATGTCCCTCCCTTCCAGCCTGTGAAAAATCAGCTGATAGTCTTATAAGTGTTCCCTTTCTTATTTATTTATTTATTTACTTATTTATTTATTTATTTAAGAGAGAATGTGCACGCATGTGTGTTGGGGGAGGAGTGGAGGGAGAGGAAGAGAGAATCTCAAGCAGACTCCCTGCTGAGTCCGGAGTCCAACATGGGGCTTGATCCCACGACCCTGAATTCATGACCTGGGCTGAAATCAAGAGTCGGACGCCCAACTGACTGAGCCACCCAGGTGCCCCTAAGTGTTCCCTTTCATGTAACTAGTTGCTTTTTTCTTGCTTCTTTTAAGATTATCTTTTTAACTTTAATTTTTGATATTTTAATTATGATTCTTGCTATGGACCTCTTTGGGTTCATCTTGTTTGGGGCTCTCTGTACTTCCTGGACATGGATATCTGTTTCCTTCCCTAGGTTAGAGTAGTTTTTAACTGTTCTTCAAATAATTTTTCTACCTATTTCTTTCTCTCTTCTCCTTATGTACCCTTATAATGCAGTTGTTAGTATACTTGATGTTGTTCTAGAGGTCCCTTAACCTATTTTCATATTCTTTGCTGTTTAATTTGGATGATTTCCACTATCCTTCCAGATTGCTGATCTCTGTTCTTCTGCATCCTCTTATCTGCTCTTGATTATCTTTAGTGTATTTTTTAGTTCAGTTATTATATTCTTCATCCTTTATTGGCTCTTTTTTATATTTTCTGTCTCTGTTGAGGTTCTCACTGAGTTCATCCATTTTTCTCCCCAAAGTAGAATAACTTTATGACCATTACTTTGAATTCTTTATCAGGTTGATTGTTTATTTCTGTTTCATTTAGTTCTTTTCCTGAGATTTTTTTCTCGTTCTTTTGTTTATAACATAGTCCTCTGTCTTCTCATTTTGTATGACTTTCTGTTTTTGTGTATTAGGTAAAACAGCTACGTCTCCTTGCATTGAAAGTATGGGCCTTCAGTAGAAGGTGATATGTGGGGCCCAGAAGTACAATCCCCTGGTCACCAAAACCAAGTACTCCAGGGCTGTCCCCTGTGTGTGTGCCCTCCACTTGTGATTGGGGTACAATTCCTGCTGGTACAGTTGAGGACGGGGCTGTGCCCTGGGCCAGCATCTGGCTACAGTGCCTGGCCATGACTACTGCAGTTGCATTGGTGGTTGGGCCTGGTCAGCGTGCCGGCTGAGAGTCCCTCCTATGACTGCTGCCTGTGGGGGTGACTTGTGACGCTAGCTCCCCCTCCCTGGGACAAGAGTTTCTTTGAACGGTTGCCCATCCTGACTAAGGATGCCCACTGCGTGTGTCGGGGTGGGTGCTGCTGAGATTGCCTGCCAGGTGTAGTGGGTCAGGAGAGTTGCCTGCTTGGTTGGGTGGGAAGGGTGGGGTGGATCTGCAGGGGAATGCCAGAGTGAGGTGAGCAGTGCTAGCAAGGTAGACAGTGTTAAAACTGGCATCCACTGGCGTTGGAACAGCTAGGCTGAAGGAGGGCCCCAAAATGGCACCCCATGGCTTTTTCTCCTAGAGAAATTTCCTGCAGATCCCTGCTCCTCTGGCACACATGCTAAAATTAGTAGATATCCCTTATATATGGTGCAGGCACTTTTCACACTGCTGCCTGTATGGTGGGTCTTGAAGTGAGTGAGATTGTGTACAGACCCTTTCAGTGTGGAGTTTTGGTTTCTTATTAGCTTGCAGCTCTCCAGGAATTAAGTCATACTGATTTTTCAATGCTCCTGGATTTATGCCCTGCTGATTTTCAAAGCCAGATGTTATGGGGACTTGTCTTCCTAGTGCAGATCCCCAGGGCAAGGGTGGGAGTCTGCCTCATATGGGGCTTGAACCCCAACACTCCTTAGGACCTCCATATCTGTGCTATCCCTCCTGCTTGTGGGTTGCTGTACCAGGATTTGTTTCCTGACCAGATTGTATTTCTGCCTCTCCCATCCTTCTTGATGTCCCTGTTTCTTTGTGTCTTTACCTGTGGAAGAGCTGTTCTGCTAGCCTTCAGGTTATTCTCAGAGGGGGTTGTTCTCCATTAGTTGCAGCCTTGGTGTGTTCACAGGAAGAGGTGAGCTCAGGATCTTCCTACTCCATTTTCCCTACTCTATCCTAATTAGGTATAGGCCAAAATTCTTTCTCACCTTCTCAGTTCAGTTTTCAGAGCTTTTATGATGTTGCTTCATAGATGTCTTGTGCATGTGCCACTTAGGTTAGTCTGATACTCAGGCAGTGACATAAATCTTAGTTCAGTTCTCAAGACCTGTATTATGGTGCTCTCTGTCTTTCCTGTGCTTACAGAATTGGGGGGTTAGTCTGAGACTTGGGTAGTATTTTTTTTTTTTTGATGTAGTGTTCCATGATTCATTGTTTGTGCATAACACCCAGTGCTCCACGCAGAATGTGCCCTCTTTAATACCCATCGCCAGGCTAACCCATTCCCCCCACCCCCTCCCCTCTAGAACCCTCAGTTTGTTTTTCAGAGTCCATCGTCTCTCATGGTTCGTCTCCCCCTCCGACTTACTCCCCTTCATCCTTCCCCTCCTGCTATCTTCTTCTTCTTTTTTTTTTCTTAACATATATTGCATTATTTGTTTCAGAAGTACAGATCCGTGATTCATCAGTCTTGTACAATTCACAGTGCTCACCATAGCACATACCCTCCCCAATGTCTATCACCCAGCCACCCAATCCCTCCCACCCCCCACCACTCCAGCAACCCTCTGTTTGTTTCCTGAGATTAAGACTTCCTCATATCAGTGAGGTCATATGATACATGTCTTTCTCTGACTGACTTATTTCACTCAGCATAACATTGGGTAGTATTTTTAAACTGAGCTCTGATCTCTCCATGTTTGCTCTGCTGCTTTTGTCTCTGCTGTGCTTAGGCGGCTTAGGGTTTAGCCAGATTTCTATGAGTTCATGGACATCAGAATGAAAACATGTTCTTTCTGAGTCTGTTCTCTCTTCTCTGAGATACTCCCCACATTCCTTGGCTCACAGTGGCTGTTTTCCTGGCTTCCCTGGGTGGAAAGGTGGAGTTTCTCTCAGAGTTTTTAGCAGCCTATACTTCAGCTGCACTTCAGTAGCCAGAGGCCTGTGTTCGGGCAAGACTACTAGAGAAAAGGAAAAACAAAAACCCTGGAAACTTCACCCTCTTGAGGGTTGCTTCTCCACATTTTCACTCTACAATTCCCTGCTTCTGTTTATTTTTTACAGTCCTTAGGGTAGTCACTTTTTGTGTTTTGTCTAAGATTTTTAGTTGTAATCAGTAACAGAACTAGAGTGTAGTGGGCTAATTTTGCCATTCTGGAAATGGAACTCATATCCTATATTTTTAGGATTTGGAAAAATTTGGAGAATGAGAATATTAACCTAATGTTTGAAATAACTGTATTTGTGACTATATACTAAGTTATTTAAAGAATCATTTAATGTAATAATAAAATTACATAAAGCTAATGTTTTCACGATTGGATTTTTAAAAGGGCAGAAAAAGAAATGCTTGGATTCTCAAGAGGTTTCCCTCGATTTATTCTTGAATTTTTTTCTCTTGAGATTTGTCTGTCTGTTATTCTTACTAAGTGTAAAGATAACAGCCTTATTTTAATGGTACCTATATGATTACTTGGAAGAAAGAAATTAATTCAGTTTCTTGATTTCCTATAGAAACTTGCTTGTTTTAATACATTATAAATAAATAGAGAATAAAATGTGAAATAAACTATACATATTTGCACTTTAAATCAAAATGTGTTATCTCATTTAAATGTAATTAGAGAGTTAAATGATTTGAATTATTTATAAAACTGATTAAGGAGAGTCAAATAGTTTGAGACTCAGAAATTTTGTTATGGTTTTAAATTTTTTGAGATGTAAACAATTTTAGCTACTTAATGAGAACAAGAAATTAGTTCTATCTATGGCTATTTCTTTTCAAGGGTAACTTAAATCTTAAATTTTAATTTATAAAGCTGTGAATAACTAACTAGTCTCTTGAAGAAGATCAGAAGCCCTTCATTGTTTTATCATTCCATGATATGAAAGAAATTATTTCAGTGCATTCAGTGGATCTTTTTGAAGCAGAAAATAGTTTTTTTAATAGGAACTTAACAAATGCTTTTAATGCTTAGTTATTATGTTGGTTGATGATACAGTTTTTATAAACTATTTGCAGTGTTAGTCATGTATGCTTAAATGCACTGGTTAAAGTCCTGATTCAAGGATGGAATCCTTACTTAATTTTTAGATCAGATCTTTTTTCCCTTCTAGCAACACAATGCAGAAATTGAGCACTTAACTGAAGTTCTTAAGGAAAGAAATAAAGAAAGCAAGAGGCTAAGGTCCTCTTTCGATGCATTGAAAGAATTGAATGATAACTTAAAAAAGCAGGTAAGACCTATTTTAATAAATACTAGATTATAAGATTTTCAAAACGTATCATCTATATTTAACAAATTATGTATCAAAGTCTTAGAATATATTCTAGCTAGAGAAAATTTTGATTACCTTGATTTCCTATAATACTTCCAAATATAAATATGGTATTCTTAAGCTTTTGATCTCTCATCATCTGTTTTAGCATCCAGCTGAGAATATGTTTTTGCAGTTTAGAATTTTTAAAATATAAGAGCAATTACTAGATTTAAATGAGCAAAAAAAACCCCAAAAAACCACATGATAATGTGGAGATTTTTACGCATTGATTTTAGCTAATACTTCTTTTAACTGCTGTTTTACACCACTGCTTGTTTAACATTCATTTATTTTCTGGACATCTATTATATGCTAGGCACTGTACTAGCGTGAATATACAGTGCTATCATACAGAGGGCTATCATACTGTACTGTGATTACATAAGTGATGTAATCTAGGTTACTGCTTAATAATACTGAAGTTGTAAAGCAAATATTTTTGAGTTGTGTATCTTTTTTTTTTTTTAACTTTTGCCAGTTTTTGACTGAAAGATGAGAAAGAATAGTTCAAGAGAGACAGGAGAATGATTATGTTTGTATTTGTGTAAGGAGAACTAGATGAGCAGAAATTGGGGTAAACCCAGTCACTTCAAAAATGAAAGCTTTGGGCTGGAAGACTTCATGGATTCTAAAATGTAACTAAGCTCAGACTCTCAGAGATAATATGCATCCTGGAATTCTTTAGCTAGCTATATGTCTTCAGTTTCTGTTTTTGATGTTCTGTAGTCACTGCTTGTTACAACCTTTCTCATTGGCAGTGACAACTAGCTACAACATTTCTCATTTGATCTAAGTTCTTTGGCTTCCCTGAATTCATTTATGACCTCCCACAGTAGGAGTATGGATGGCCTTCACTTACTGTTGGCTGGAAGCCTGCTTTATCCCTGGAGAGATTACTTTTTCCCATCACACTCTCAATCTAGTGTGCTCTCGCTCTCTCTTCTTTTTTAAGATTTTATTTATTTGAGAGAGAGAGTGAGTAAGAGAGGAGAGAGCACAAGCCAGGGGAGGGACAGAGGGAGAGGGAGGGGCAGACTCCCCACTAAGCAGGGAGCCCGATGTGGAACTCGATCCCAGGACCCTGGGATCATGACCTAAGCTGAAGGCAGCCGCTTAACCAACTGAGCCACCAGACGCCCCCTCTCTCTTTTTAACTGAAGTATAGTTGGTTGACACAAAACATTATATTAGTTTCAGATGTACAATAATGATTTGACAATGTTATATGGTATACTGTGCTCAGCACAAGTGTAGGTACTATCTGTCACCATACAACTCTAGCACTCTTTTTTTTTTTTTTTAAAAGATTTTATTTGACAGAGAGAGACACAGCGAGAGAAGGAACACAAGCAGGGGGAATAGGAGAGGGAGAAGCAGGCCTCCTGCCAAGCGGGGAGCCTGATGTGGGGCTCAATCCTAGGAACCCGGGATCACAACCTAAGCCAAAGACAGATGCTTAATGACTGAGCCACCCAGGTGCCCCGTAGCACTCTTTTTTTGAGAAGGGTTTCTTTAACTGCTAGCCAAAGAACACTGTTGCCCATACCTATCTCTTAAGGTTATATATTTCTTAATAATTTTGTATGTGTTTGTATGGGTGGATGGTGAGTGGAGTGGATATGTGAATTATTAAGTGATTGACCTATTGATAATTGGATTTTTGATCTAGTGTGACCAAACTGAAAGAGCTTGGGAGAAATCCTTTGGTGTACCAGCTGGGAGAATGCTTTTTTATGGTTACTCTGTTTAGTGTAGATGAGGAGTCAGCAATTTTTTTCTTTAAGGATGAAATAGTAAATACTTTGGGCTCTGTGAGCCATGCAGTCTGTCATGACTCAACTCTGACATAATGCAAAAGTAGCTACAGGCAATAAGTAAGTGAATGAGCATGGCTGTATTCTAATAAGATGTTATTTATAACAGTAAACAGTGTTCAGATTTTGTCCATGGGCTATAGTTGGCCAACTTTTGGCATGATGAATGATGTATATATACAGTTGACCCTTAAACACCATGGGTTTGAACTGTGTTCCACTTATATGAAGATTTTTTTTTTCGTTAGATGTGGTACCATGTTATAAATGTATTCTCTCTTATGATTTTCTTTTTCATGTCAGAGTCTATCATCTTTTATATTTTTTTCTCATATATTCAGGAAAATTATTCTCCTATAGTAATCCTGAATATGACAAAGATCCAGCTGGGAATTAAATTTTCCCATCGCTTCTCAAGAGTATTTTCTGCTGATCTGGGTCACTTTGTTCCCTTCCTCCTCCCCTCCTCGGCATCCACCCCTCTTCATTGTTTTTCTTTTCTGGAGTTCATTATTTTTTTTTTCTTTCCTCTCTCTCTCTTTTTTTAAATTTAAATTCATTTAATTCACATATTATTAGTTTCAGAGGTAGAGTTCAGTGATTAATCAGTCTCATATAATACCCAGTGCTCATTATATCATGTGCCTTCTTTAATGTTTATCACCCAGTTACCTCATTGCCCCACCCCTCCCCTTCCAGCAGCCCTCAGTTTCCTATGATTAAGAGTCTCTTATCGTTTGTCTCCCTCTCAGATTTCATCTTGGTTTATTTTTCCCTTTTTCTGCTATGATCCTCTGTTTTGTTTCTTAAATTACATATGAGTGAGATCATATGATAATTGTCTTTTTCTGATTAACTTATTCACTCAGCATAATACCCTCCAGTTCCATCCACGTCAATGTAAATGATAAGATTTCATCCTTTCCGATGGCTGCATAATATTCCATTATACCACATCTTCTTTATCCATTCATCTGTCAGTGGACATCTGGGCTATTTGCATAGTTTGCCTATTGTGGACACTGCTGCTATAAACATTGGGGTGCAGGTGCCCCTTCAGATCACTACATTTTGTATCTTTGGGGTAAATACCTGGTGGTGCAATTGCTGGGTGGTAGGGTAGCTCTATTTTTAACTTTTTAAGGAACCTCCATACTGTTTTCCAGAGCGGCTGCACCAGCTTGCATTCCCACCAGCAGTGAAGAGGGTTCCCCTTTCTCTGCATCCTCACCAATATCCGTTGTTTCCTGACTTGTTCATTTTAGCCATTCTGACTGGCATGGGTTGGTATCTCATTGTGGTTTTGATTTGTATTTATTTGTATTTCCCTGATGCCGAGTAATGTTGAGCCATTTTTTCATGTGTCTGATGGCCGTTTATATATCGTTTTTGGAGAAATGTCGGTTCATGTCTTCTGCCCATTTTTGACTGGATTATTTGTTTTTTGGGTGTTGAGTTTGGTAAGTTCTTTCTAGATCTTGGATACTAGCCCTTTATCTGATATGCCATTTGCAAATGTCTTCTCCCATTCTGTCGGTTATCTTTTGGTTTTGTTGACTATTTCCTTTGCTGTGCAAAGGCTTTTTTGTTTTTATGAAATTCCAGTAGTTCATTTTTCCTTTGTTTCCCTTGCCTTTGGAGATGTGTCTAGCAAGAAGTTGCTGTGGCCAAGGTCAAAAAGGTTATTGCCTGTGTTCTCCCCTAGGATTTTGATGGATTCCTGTCTTACATTTTTAGGTCTTTCATCCATTTTGAGTTTATTTTTGTGTATGCTGTAAGACAGTGGTTCAGTTTCATTCTTCTGTATGTGGCTGTCCAATTTTCCCAACACACTGGTCCAGTGTGTCATTCATTTGTTGAAGGGGCTGTCTTCTCCATTGGATATTCCCTCCTGCTTTGTCAAAAATTAGTTGACTATGAGTTGAAGGTCCATTTCTGGGTTCTCTATTCTGTTCCATTGATTTGTGTGTCTGTTTTTATGCCAGTATCATACTGATGATAATTGCAACTTTGTAATGTAGCTTGAGGTCTGGAATTGGGATGCCACCAGCTTTGGTTTTCTTTTTCAATATTCCTTTGGCTGTTTGGGGTCTTTTCTGGTTCCATACAAATTGTAGGATTTTTTGTTCCACCTCTGTGAAAAAAGTTGATGGTATTTTGATAGGGATTGCATTGAATGTGTAGATTTCTCTAGGTATCATAGACATTTTAACAATATTTGTTCTTCCAATCCATGAGCATGGAAAATTTTTCCATTTCTTTATGTTGGCCTCAATTTCTTTCATAAGTGTTCTATAGTTTTCTGAGTACAGATCCTTTGCCTCTTGGGTTAGATTTATTCCTAGGTATCTTACGGTTTTTGGTGCAATTGTAAGTGGGATTGACTCCTTAATTTCTCTTTCTTCTGTCTCAATGTTAGTTTATAGAAATGCAACTGACTTCTGTACATTGATTTTATACCTGCCACATTTTTTAATTCTTGTATGAGTTCTAACAATCTTGGGTGGACTCTTTTGGGTTTTCCACGTAGAGTATAACATCATCTGCGAAGAATGAGAGTTTGACTTCTTTGCCAGTTTGGATGCCTTTTATTTCTTTTTGTTGTCTGATTGCTGAGGCTAGGACTTCAAGTACTATGTTGAGCAACAGTGGTGGACATCCCTACTGTGTTCCTGACCTGAGGGGAAAAGCTCTCTGTTTTTCCCCATTGAGAATGATATTGGCTGTGGGCTTTTTGTAGATGGCTTTTATAACATTGAGGTATGTTCCTTCTATTGGTACACTGTGAAGAGTTTTAATCAAGAGAGGATGCTGTACTTTTTCAAATGCTTTTTCTCCATCTGTTGAGAGGATCATATGGTTGTTGTCCTTTCTTTTATTAATATAGTATATCACATTGATTTGTGGACATTGAACAACCACCCTTGTAGCCCAGGAATAAATCCCACCTGGATGGTGAATAATCCTTTTAATGTACTGTTGGACCTTGTTGGCTGTTATCTTGGGGGAATTTTGGCATCCATGTTCATCAGGGATATTGGCCTGTAATTCTTTTTGGTGGGGTCTTTGTCTGGTTTTGAGATCAGGGTAATGCTGGCCTCA